TCTCCTCCATGAAGTTCATGCCGAGAACTCCCCCTTTTCTCCCATCTCCACTACTAAGAAATCATGGTCAAAAGTCTGTCCTCCCAAGGCGAAGCGTAGTTGACACTCCCCCCGTGTCGGCAATACCCGGTGTTGCACGTCCATCACACACGCTTTGGTAGGCCTTAGCGTTACCTCCTCCTTCGAGATTTCTACAAAAGTGGCGGCATCCATCACCGTCGTCTCCGCTCCAGTGTCCACTAGAAAATCTACTAGCTGTCCTTCCACCCGTAGTGTTAACTTCCATGATGGTCGATTCCGCACCATCCATAAGAATGCTCTCCGCTGTCTTTGTTTTCGTCACCGTTTCTTTCTCCAGGTTGAGGCCGTCGGCACTGACCCCACCTGCACTAGTTTTCCGCTGCGCTGCGGCTTCTTCCTTTATCGCCCGAAGGGGTTGTGAGCTTCCCACCTGTGGTACCGATTTGCAAGACCCAGTCACCGCTCTTCCGGCGTGATACCGTCCGTCATAGACGTGTCCATTCGGGCCGTTCCGCGGACGTTGCCAACAGTCCCGCGCGAAGTGACCCTCTTCTCCGCATCGGAAGCACGCCGTCGGCCGTATCTGGTCCACCAGTCCTCCGCGACTCGTTTCCCGTCCTCCACGACGGCTTCCATTCTGATCTTTCTTCTTCTCTCCGGATGCTAAGAACTTTCGCATCAGTTTCGTTAACTCACGGATATCAGTCTCTACTTCCACCTCGTTGATTGCGTCGACGTCGTGGGCCACTCCTTTGAACTTAACTGGCACCACTAACGGTTTCCGGGGCGTCACCCTACTTCTGATTTCTATGTCGAAATCTTCCGCACACGCAGCAACGTCTCCTGCCGTCCTACACCTCTGCCCCCAGAATATAGATTCAGGGCGCATCGGACGGCATCTCTTCCTTAAGTCGGGCCACCAGACACTCACTAATTTGGCTACTGCTTGCTCGTGGCATGGTAATTCTCTCCAATTTCTTCAGCTGCCTTACGTATTCCGGCCAATCCTCCTCCGGTTGCTTTCTCCGGCTGGCCAGGGTTGCCTGGTTCCGAATCCGGTGCTGTTCCGTTCCATACCGATCCTCTAACTTCCCTCTAAGTTTTGCCTCACTCTGCCGGCTCGCGGACTCAAACAGTATACCAGCGGCCTGTCTTCCCAATGCTGCGGCGAGCTGATCTGCCCTTACATCCCTATCCCACTGATGGTACCGTCCGGCCACGTCAAACCGATTTAGAAACTCATCCAACGGCTCTCCGGGTGTTCCTGCGAACGTTCCGACCCGTATCGGACATCCTGGTGGACGTGAAGCCAGCACCGTTCCTTGCTCTTGCCTGGTGGCCTCCTACTCCCCCTCTCTCGTTCATGGCGGTGGCGTCGCCGACAGGGTCCGCTCTCAGACCGACTCCTACTTCGACTATGGCTCGACCGTCTAGAACGCCGTCTCGTCCTTCTCCGGATCGTTCCGCCACCACTCCCAGAATCTAAACTCGATGAGTCACTTCTCCATTGCTCCGTGCCTCTCGACTCTCTTTCCCTCCGGCGTCGACGTCGGTGACCGCGGCTTCTTCCGGAGAAGTCACTATCACTATCTCTAGCCGACTTACTACTTGCCTGGTGACTTCTGGTCTCCATTGCTTTCTCTTCCGCAGCTGACTTTACCATTCTAATCTGCTGTGCGGGATCGACTTATTCCACTCCGTCATGAGTTTCAACATTTCCATCTTCCGCAGCCGTTCCCCGCGGACTGCTTCGGACGGCTCCGCACCTTCCGCACCGGGCCCCTCCGTAAGAGTAGCACAACTCACTACTTCCTGCCGCCGGCCTCTTCCTTAATGCTGTCAATAACATGCTCCGCGGCTCTCCCCGCGTCTCCGCGTGCCCTTCTGCACGGCTCGGTCCTTGACTAAAATTGCCTTGATTTACCACCCGCTCCGGTGACTCATTCTCTCCCTCTGACTCACCGCTCGTGGGGGTCCTTCGCTCTGGCTCTCACATTGCAACGGACTGCCGATCTGTCCATCTGTTGGACTTTCTTCTCTGGCTTCTGCGATTACCACTCCTCCTGCGTCATCCCGCCTTGTCTGCCTTGTGTGTCTCTTCATTTCTTCTTTGATTCGACACGCGAACAGGGCACCAAATGAAGCTGGTGTGTCTCTTCTTATTCTTCCGATCCGCTCGTGGTCCCGGCTCCAAATGTGGCGTTTTCCCGTCCCACGTCAGAATGTGACGTGGCACCTCGGCTAGCGTTGCCGGGCTTTCGTTGGCCTGTGATCGCCTTGCTGTCGCTAGCCGCGTTCTCCCGGTAAGGTACGCTCAAACCTTACACAGATTCGGGCGGATCGGAAGTTCGAAGGGTCGCGCGGAAACGCACTCGCAGATGAAGACAGTGCAGAGGAAGTACGGATAACGAAAGGTTTATTCTCACTCACTGGCGACGTGTACAACAGACCACCAGCCCTTTCACTGTTACAACTCTCCTCGCGGAGCTGACGGTGCCAACTCGCCCGAGTTAGCAATACTAACTTCCCCCGAGCTAGCGAGACTAACTTCTCCCCGAGCTAGCGAGACTAACTTCCCCCGAGCTAGCGAGACTAACTTCCCCCGAGCTAGCGAGACTAACTCTTCTGTGGCCGCACGGCCAGCCTTCTTATATCCCGCCTTCCCGCACGCGCGAACATACCGGACGTAAATTCCTCGACAGGGTCGTCGAGATCACGTAATGATTGATGCTCTACCCGAGGTCGTCGAGATCACGTAGGATTAATGGGAGAGCTCGACGTATCTGCCACAGAAGAATAACCAGGTTGAGCGAGGGAAAACGGCTCGGGGCAAGGACAGGAGGGGATGAAAGAGGAGTTTTGCACCCTACAGGCTAGGGCACTCTCTTAATTATTAACACAGTTCTACTGACAACAATTTATTACAGAAATCTATGCTGAGATATCCCCTAACCATATTAAATGCATATATTCATCGCAAAAGTATGCGTTAAGGTGCCATGTGAGTGATCAGTGAGTAAATAAAAATGGGCCAATTTAGCACTCTGTGCTGTGATGTAACCAAGAGTTGACCCCACACTATCATCGTGAGATTCAAATATCTGTAACAATTCTAGTTCCGTTCAAAATGCACATATTTGGCAGTAAAAATAGAAGGTTGCAACCAGGGGCGTAAATCCGTACCGAGGAGTTGGGGGGGGGATGATCGGCGATAGCCATGATCACATACTAGCACGAGCACAAGCTCACAATAATTTACGCACACGCGCGCGATCGCGCACGCACGAACAACGTGCCGTAGGCATGCCAGTGCTAGAGGGGTTTGGGGGCATACCTCCCAGAAATTTTTGAAATATTTAAGCCATTTTCCTGCAATCTGAGGCATACTGTGGGCCATATTCTCATGTCTGATGACACTATCTCAACCCTAGACTCAACCCTACAAGTCATGATTCAAAACACTTTTTATAACTTTTCAGAGAGCGTACAGAGTTATGTTACTATAGTAAGCCTTAGGGCGTCGAGTCAGCAGCAGCTCGCTCGCTTGCGCGCAACAATCAATATTTCAGCGATTCTACTACTACAAGCTAGAACTACTAGAAACTGCAACTAGAACTAAAACTAGAACTAAAACTAGAAACTACAACTACATGCGTAGCATTTCACGGATGCCCGCACGTACTATCAGTTTTGTGTATCCTTTTTTGCTGCCCTTCGGTATTCCACGGCAACAACTTTCAACGTGAGTGCATTTCAAATATATTTTTACATTTAACTTTAACTCAAATATCACGCAACAACAATCTATTCTATGTATCTACTACATCGGCTATACCACCGACAAACACTTATATAATGCACCACGTAAAATCAACTTTATTCATGTAAACAAATGCAGTGTCTTTGTCTACAATACTTATATGTCTTATATCGCCATGACTTTTCCAGTTTTCTTTTCACAAACATACACAACTTAAGCTACTGTCACAGGGCTTGCAGTCAGCAGCAGCCAGCAGCGACCCAGCTGTTACACACATGTATACATGTTACACGCTCGCGGAGGTATGCACTCTCTTTGAGTGCCCTCTGTTTAGTTATTATTATTATTATTACCTCCGCGCAAACGGAGGTCATGCAATCGCTCGCCTGTGTGTGTTCGTGTGTGTGTGTAGCCAGCAGCGAGCCAGCTGTTATACACACGCTCAACCGATCGATCGATTCAGCACCAGCTCGCCTTAAGGCGTCCAGTCAGCAGCAGCTCGCCTTAGGGCGTCCAGTCAGCAGCAGCGAGCCAGCTGTTATACACATGTATACATGTTACACGCTCGCGGAGGTATGCACTCTCTTTTAGTGCCCTCTGTTAATATTATTATTATTATGCGTGTGCGTGTGTCAGTTCTATATAGACACGCTATCTGTTTTATTGTAATATTAATAACATTATTACCCAAACCCTCTCCCCACACACACACACACATACACACACACACACACACACACGCGCGCGCGCGCGCGCGCACACACCCACACCCTTTCCCCCCACACACACACACGCGCGCGCGCACACACACACACGCACAAAAACCTACCTATTTTAATCGTGCTTAAAATGTATTTTAAGCGCGATTGAATTCCAGCCAATCAGAACAGTGGTTTTTAATCGCACTTAAAATCTATTTTAATCGCGATTAAAAACCACTGTTCTGATTGGCTGGAATTCAATCGCGCTTAAAATGCATTTTAAGCGCGATTAAAATAGGTAGGTTTTGGCGGTAATGGCCTTCCATAGGTTTTGGCGGCAGCTACTACTAGGCGAAGTCAGCGTGCATTCGATCGTTTGCGCACGCAGTCGCAACTCGCAACATGCGCGCGTAGTTAGCGAGCTGGAGGGATGCTTGGCTTCCGCAGGAGCAGCAGCAGTGGTGGATACAGCAAGGCAGACGTGTAGCTTCTTCCAGACGCCATCGTACGAGCGAGCGAGCACTGGACGGTTCTAACATATGCGCATTACTGCGGCGGATTACAGGGAGTGATTATAGACGTAAGGTAAGGATAGGTTGCGAATTAAATTGACTAAAATTAAAGTCACGAATTTTCTATGGCGTATATTTATAAAATGTTTGTTGCATTTTTTTACATTTAAAGTAAGTACTAACGGGACTAAATATATCCTCAAATGCAGCAATTTAACCATAACAATTGAACAGAATCACTTTAAAAACTATGTGGTATAATTTGCTGTATTGGGCGATTTGCTTAAATGGGCGTTTGCTGTATTGATCACGACATTAAATGCTTGCTATGGGCTATGTATGAGTCACGAGTGTTTGTTCACAACGAGCGGAATAGCAAAGTAGGAAGTATAATGCAGCAATTCAACCATAACAATTGAACAGAATCACTTTAAAAACTTGTACGATTTGCTATATTGATCACGACATTAAATGCATGCTATGGGATATGTATGAGTCACGAGTGTTTGTTCACATCGAACGGAATAGCAAAGTAGGAAGTATAATGCAGCAATTTAACCATATTAAAATTTGAACAGAATCACTTACATTTTGTGAAAAAGTGGAAATGGTTTTTTTACTTTTACTATTCACGGTGACGTAATCACTTTAACCATGCAGTCCGTCTCGAGGTTTCCTTCGAGTTGTCTCGTTTCTGTGGCATCTGTGTGTCGTGACCGTACATTGTTTTTGTTAACTAGTTCCACATAGTGATGTGAAATGCATTCCCCTATGCGTTATAGATAGCTTAGATCACCTAAATGAAGCAAGGATACATCAACTGAAAAGGGTAGGAGTAAGGTGAAAACAGGCCATTGCCTAGAACATCTTATGTAATCTTGTGTTAGATGCAAATATGAAGGGGATTGATATAGTAAACAAGCTGGTAACCAGTTGATATTCAGGCGCTCACACACTCGCACGGGTAGGATCAGTGTATGAGTGGTAACAGCTACAACGCGAGTGGGTTCTGCAATGATTTCTTACAATCATCGATTTCTTTGTTACATTTGACGTCTTTCTCATTCTCACATTTTCCGAAAGAAATACCACGAAGTTTAGCACAGTGATAGTCAATGCATGGCATGTGCCACCAACAACCCATTTGTACTAAAATACGTTTGAAATTGAAAATCTATTAAATAAAAACTATAATGTCTACGATTAAATAATATTTTTTATCATAATCTTATTATAAGATAAATTATTTTTACTTTAGTGTAATTATTTCGCATTCTGTCAGAATGTCTATCAAGCCAAAATTTTTGACGCATGTACAAACAATATTGCGAAGTTCACGTCAAAATGCTAAATTGGGCTTGTGATAATTTTGGACTTGGCTTTGCTAGGTATAAAAGAAGGGATGCGCTGATAAAAGCATTCACGCAAATTTCTAAAAAGGTGGAAATAACAAAAGTGACGCAGAATGTTATTTTGAAAATCTTTTCCATAGTGAATTTCGTAATATTTCTCCAGACGCTGTTTGCCTTTAACAAGTGTAGGATATATTCTGCTGGGGATTAAACAGTGTCGGTGTTTCCGTTGATTCAGGTAGACAATTCGGATATCTTCCCGTTCAACCGGAATGTGCATAATGGCCTTCTATACACTCTTCGGATTAATTTGTGCCCAACTGTTGCACCAGACGTTAGGAAACAGGTAACGCACTCTACCAAAACTAATAGTATTAAACATGCGCATACGATATATAATTTTGGAAATAATTGATATATATATATATATATATATATATATTTGAGTATATAGGGAACGACCAGCGAGGGACAGGGGAGAGAGAGAAGTGGGCAAGCAGAATGAGAAGAGAAGGAAAGAGTTAGTTGGGTCCAATTTAAGTAATGTCAATTCTAATTTATATAAATTAAGCATACTTTTCTCTATAGCACCTTGAAAACACGAAGGAGCACCGACTCGACAGCACACATTCTGGACCAGCTAATGGGAACAAGTGGCTACGACTCAAGAGTGAGTCCAGGTATATCCCGCACACGCATAAAAGTATATTACAACACAAAATATGCGATCGCAATGTTAGCATGGATTAAAGACCACGCCGATTGCTTCGTGGATTGGGACTGGGGGCAGTATCGTGTCAAGTGACAGTCATGAATAATTTATGTATGATTAATTGCTGATTTTAACGTTACGTTCCTATTTATAAATGTGTGCGTGTGTGTGCGTGCGTCTGCTTGTGTATGTGTGTGTGTGTGTGGTGGGCTGGTGCGCCCGGGTGTGTGTGGTGTGGATGTTGTGTGTGATGTGCGTGGTGTGTCGTGTGTGGTGTGAGCGTTATGCCTGCGGCGCGCGCGTGCGTTGCCTGCGAGTGCCCCGTGACGTGTGTGTGCGTCCGCCTTGTGTAGTGTGTGGTGTGTGTGTTCTTGGTGCGAGCGTGCCGCTGTTGTGCGTTTCGCTTGCTGTATGGTGTGGTGTGTTGTGTGTTTTGTGCGAGCGTTCTGTGTGTCTGCGGCGTGCGTTGCGTGCCTGTGTTGTAATGCTGTCCTGCTTGTGTGTTGTGTGACGTGTGTATGCGATTCTGCCTGTTGTGTGTTGTGGTGTGTATGGCGTCTTGCCTCGGTGTGTGCGTGTGTATTGGTTCTGCTTGTGTGTGGCCCGGGAACGTCTGCCACGTGGGTCGCCGCGAATGCTCGTAGTTCGACTGGGGGACCGTCTTACGTGCGTTGTGTATGTGGCTCATGCCTGTGTGCGTGTGTGTGCGTGTGTATGCGTCTGCTTGTGTGTGCGTGCCTGTGTGTATGTGTCTGCTTGTGTGTGTGCGTGTGTATGCGTCTGCCTGGCACCTGCGCGTTGTGTGTGCGTCGTGTTATGTGCGTCTGCTTGTTGTGTGATGCGTGTGTATGCGTCTGGTTGTGTGTTGTGCGTGTGTATGCGCTCTGCTTGTGTGATGGCCGACTGTGCTCGTGTGTGTTGATACGTTCTGCTTGTGTGTGTGCGTGTGTGTATACGTGCTGCTTGTGTTCGTGCGTGTCGTGTATGCGTCTGCTTGTGTGTGTGCGTGTGTGTGTGTGTTGGTGTATAACGTTCTGCTTGCGTCAGTGTGACGCTCTCTGTCGTGTGTGTATGGGCGTCTGCTTGTGGTGTGTGTGTGTATATCGGTCTGCTTGTGCTGCGCGTCGTGTGCGTGTGTGTATGCGTCTGCTCTGCTGTCCGTATTGCGTCTGCTTGCTGTGGTGTTGTCGCCCCCCCTGCGGCCGTTGTGGTATACGTCTGCTTGTGTTGCGCCCTCTCCCTGTGCGTCTGTGTATTTGCGTTCCTGCTTGCTGTGTGTGACCCCGTCCCGTCTTCTCCGCCCAGCTCCCCACGCCCGCGCGCTATGGTGTGCTATCACGTCCTGCCTTGATGTGTTTGTGTTCGTGGTGTATACGTCCTGCTTGCCCAAGGCCCGCCCCCGCGGTACCGTTGTGCCGGTGTGTGTCGTGCGTGTGTGCTATTGCGTCGTGATTTGTGCTGTGTGCGATCCGGTGTGGTCATGGTTCTCTGCTTGCTGTGTTGTTGCCCGTGCTGTATCGCAGTCTGCTTGCTGCCTGGCCTCGTGTTGTGTGTGTGCGTGCTGTTGTGCTATACGTCATGGCTTGTGTGAAATGTTTGGTCATTCGTGTGTGTATACGTCTGCTTGTGACTCCCTACGTGTGCGTTGTGTGTATGCGTCTGTCTGGTGTGTGTGTGTGTGTGTTGCTATACGTCTGCGTTGTGTGTGTCGGACGTGTGTGTGGATGCGTTTCTGCTTGTGTGGTGTGGTGGCTGTCAGGCTGTGTGTGTATACGTCTGCTTGTGTGTCGTGCGTCGTGTGTATACGCTCTGCCTCTTGAGCCTGCCGCTCCTCTCTTGTGTGTGGTGCGCCCGTGATGCGTCGCCTACCCTGAGTGCTGTGCTTTCGTGTGTTGACTCGTCGCCCCTGTGTGTGTGTGTGTGGTTGTATGATCGTCTGTCTTTGCGCCTTGTGCGTCGCTGTGCCCTATACTGTTCTGCATTCGCTGTGTCGTTGCGGCTGTGTGTATGGTCCTTGCTTGGCCTGTGCTGCCTGTCTCCGCCCCTCCCTCCTCCTTCTGTGTGTGTGTGTGTATAGCCGTCCTGCCTTGTGCTGTGTGGGGCGCCCGGCCGCGGTGTGTGTATGCGTCCTCGCTCTCGCTCGCTCGCTGTGCTGTTGTCGTTCGCGAGCCGTCCCGGGCTGCTGTGTAGTGCGTCCATGCTTGCTGTGTCGTGGGCGTGTGTGTATGCGTCTGCCTTTGTGTGTGCTGTGTGTGTGTGTGTGTGTGTGTGTGTGTGCGTCTGCTTGTGTGTATGCGTCTGTTGTACGGGTCGATGCATCCGAAAATCATAAAATACGCGAAATTTCCCGCGGCGACAAATTCGGCTATATAACATAAGTAATTCAGAAGTTCTGAAGATGGCTGTCAGAACGAGAGCTGAAACTGTTAAGGTAAATAATTTAAGGAATTAACCATGAACTCATTAAAATAAGTAATTTTAGTTGTGAGCCGCCACTATATATTCGGTTTGATCATCTCCATTGGGCTCTCCGCGAAGTTCCCTCTACCAGGGCCGTATTATAGAGATCGTTTATATATCGTACGTCTATATATACGGCTCTGCCCTTTACGATATATAACCGCCCCCTAGCGTGAGAACATAGACATCACGCTCAATATCCAACGGTTTCAAAAGCACGCTACGTAAGCACGGCGGCACTAACTAGCTGCTGACGGTGTACATAGCTTATCGTAGCCATCACTGTATGACTGATACTCGAGGGAATCGGCAAGTGTCCTTTATAGAAAGGTGTCCCTTCTATAGAGGTTGTTTCACTGTATAACTGATACTCCGGGGGAAATGCTAGAAATGTCCTTTATAGACAAGTGGTATCCACACAATTCCATAGAGGGGTGTCACCGTATAATTACCACTCAAGGTACCACACCATCAGTGTCTTTTATAGACAGGTGGCCTTTCTATACATGTGTATGCTATCTATCTATCTATAAAAGCCCGCTACGCAAGCACGGCGGCACTCACTAGCTGCTGATGGTGTACATACCGCGTGGTCGCTTCCCGCGCGTCTTCCTCGTTCACAACACATAACGCGAACTGCGCGCCTGTTCCCGTTTCTATCAATGTCGTACGTCAATAAAGCGCAAAGATCTCACAAGTAAAAGTTGAATTACACGTCGGCTCGAATATTGTCGCAGTTTCACGCCGAGCTGCTCCCTGGCGGACGGTAGCGTGCGCGCTTACTCTGCGGATGATATGCGAAATTTTATGGCACATGGGCAGACTGTTTGATTTTATTTCATATAAAAAGCAATAATGCCTCTGCCTGCCTTTTGTTGAGAATTGTACCGTTCGGTTACATGTAGAATGTGATGCTAGCGAAACGTTCACAGATCGTTAGGTTTATAATAATCGCTGATGCGGTGTTAGTTTACAATGTTCGACCTTTTTTAATTCAATTGACCTATTTCGATTGAAAGAAATAACGAATAACGAAATAACGAAATAACGAAAGAAATTATTTCAATCGACCTATTTCAATTGAAAGAAATAACGAAATGCGATATACTCGCGTGCATATTTTAGAAGGCTGAATAAATAATTTTCTCTGCATCGCAGCTTGCGTGTATGTGGAGCCAGTTTTGTCGAACACCCACTGCTTCGTGTTGCCAGCGTATTTATATTTATTAAAAAATATGGTCTTTTAACACTTATAATAATTGCAGAGTACTGATCTGTTGACGCACGTTTTGTTGCGTTACTACGGTTATTGTTGCCATGGCAACCGACTCTCAATTTCCTTAGGGACGAGCTTCAGGCAAATGGAGCTGTAAATTAACAGCGTAGTACTACTCCATTATCATAATTATAGTCAACTATTATATTTTCACGAGGCTGATCAAAACCCTGCTTTAGGCAAGTGCCCGTGTCAAGCCGCCATAATTCGTTCTACTTATTTCACCTGCCCTGTCGGGTAGTGGTGGCTGTGAACATACGCGCAGTCAGGTCACACTCATGTGCCAACGAGGCATCACACATCGCTCATTACGCGTTAATTCTACACAGGGCGCAGTATAGAATAATCGTAAATTAGGACTGAATATATTGTAGGCGTGTGATTCGCACTACCGTTGTAAAGGTTCTGTAATAGACTAGAGATAGACAAGGACAAGACAAGCAGTAGCGTTCACTAGTGTTTTACTACATCATACAAACATGAAGTCTCAGTGTACTACAGAAATAGAAAGACCGTTCAACTACATAGCAACCGTATCACGCACTTACACCTTTCTCAGTCGGTGTCTTCTACAAAGAACCCCGAGGCGCGGCCGCGCTCCACTATTTATACCACGTTCCTTCTCCTACGTCACCTTTCGTTATAGGTTCCTTCTCTGACCAACCGACCATACCAAATACGGGCAAGGGGCAGTCCTACGACTGCTACAATACCATACCGTATATGGTGGGGTATTGGCGTCTCCGCACTTGGCTGGAATCCATGGTCCGATTCTGGCCCTGATGTCATAGATAATCTGGCCAGTGTCTAGGCTGTGCCAATGCGCAATACTCGGCACGAACTCGGGAACCTTAGCCATGAGTTTGGCTATTGCTTACTCTCCCGCGTTCTCGGCTTGCTCGATGTAGCGTCCACTCACAGCCTGTTGTGACATCTCTTCCGACACTGCGGCGCCAAGATTGCGTTTCCCCGCATCGCCATCGCTTTTGCGTGGCATATGGAATTTGCCCGCTTACAATATATATATGCAATATTCATGGCGTGTGCAATCCTAATGTACCGTCATTCGATGCATGGGTGAGAGTGAACTTTGTTTGTCGGTCCTCACTAACGGACGTATCCACGATGTTGCGTCGATAATCGTTACTATATGTGCCAACACCATCATGAATGTGTTTTTTTCCGAGTTAGTGTGTCGGTGATCAATCGTGAATGTATAGCGTCAGATCATCCATATTTAATGAACTACACACGCGAAAACGCGTACGCACGCACGCTCGCCTGCACGCCCCCCCCCCCACACAACATACCCGCACA